GAATAGTAAAATTATTGTTCATATAATTCCGGAAAGAACTTTCCGTAATAGTAACTTTAATATTATGGAAAGTACTTTCCGGAATTATGTAACAAAACATTTCCGGAAAATACTTTCCGGAATAAGAATTTAATATTATGGAAAGTATTTTCCGGAACATTTTTATATAATTCCGGAAAGAACTTTCCGTAACAGTAAGAAGAAGAAGAAGAGGAGTGCCAGAAAGAGAAAGAAGAGGGGTGTGCGAGGTGCGGGAAAAAAAAAGAAGAAGAGGAGTGCCAGAAAGAGAAAGAAGAGGGGTGCACAATGTCAGCAGGTGATCTTGTAAGAGACAGACTCTTACTTGTTCTATGGAAAGACACACTAGTAAAAAAATGACTTTTAAAATCGGAGTTTTAAAATCAGTCATAAGGTAGCCATTTTAAAAGTGACGCGGTGGTCTTTACTGCAACAAAACAACCCCAGAACGGCCCCAGAACGGTTAGTTCTGCAAGCAAAATGGCCTGTACTTCTTTCAGTATGACTCGTACTACAAACAGCACAACCTGTACTGCTTGCAGAACGGGGCGTTCTAAAATCAAAACGGGACGTTCTTCTTGCAGAACGGCCCGTTCTGGTGTGGGGAAGGAGGGTGCGGGGAAGGGAGGTATAAATTTAGGAATTTCATTTTTTTAAGGATAATTTAAATATTTTATGTATATATTTTTTAAAAAAGGAATGTGTTTATACGAGAGTGGAGATGTGTTTATCATCTGCCAAATTGCAATAACCATTTTTTTGAGCCAAAAAAGCGTGAGTGACCCAAACAATGTTAAATGCTTATTTCGCTAAGACACCAGCTTACCGAAGTACACGGTGCAGACCAAATCGTAAATAATTGTTTTTAAATAACCCATACTATACACGATATTTACTAAAATATAAATAAGAATTCAACATATAACCTTACCGTGCTCGCTATGGACCATAATTTAATGTTTTAATTCAATTAATTTTGATTTTTAAAAACGAAAAAATAAAATATTTTTACTTATACTTTTGTTTTTATCACAACTAATATATATTAAAAAACATTATTTATCTTAATTGAGCTCAAATAATTAATAATAACACATAATTAGTTTATTTGATAAAAAATATTTTGTGGATTTACATAATTAAGTTACAAATGTGTGAATTAAAATAAAATCAGTTGGCTCATATGTTAAAGGTGTTGCTAAATAAAGACTTATTGTATGTGTTTAAAGTATTTAGTTGATAATTATGTTAAATAATTGGGTGAGTGTTAAAATTAATCAAATTAACTAGAGCTAATTTTATTGTCAAGGAAAAAATCATGGGTTGTGCTACTTACTTTCAGATTTGCTATCTCTATATGATTCTCTAATCTCATTATAGAGTGACTATCAAATGGCCACTTAAAATGCTTAATCCTAGTTACCCTCTTATCAACTTCGGCCTCGTCTCAATTTTATAGAGTAAGAGAGATTAATGCTACTACTGTTTTTGTTTGTTAGCTCCATTTAAATTCGTTATTGTCTCTTAAAAAATTAGAAACAAAACAAAAGAAAAAAGATGGCTGTGTGTAGATTTAAACAAGCCATCACTCATAAGATAAATTTACAAAGTTATATATTTTTATTCAATACTTTCTCTTGAACTATCTTATCTCTTGCTCTCTCTTTGTATACAAACTTTATATAAATTAAAATGCAATTTCTCATTTACAGTTTAGTTTATTTTTTTTCCAAACATAGTATTGATTATAAATATTCACAATTTTTATTGGGGATCATGAGTGCACACACAAGGTGAGTAGAGGTGTAAGCGCTTACAGATAACCCATGAATCCGAAGTGATATAAACCAATCTAATGAATCTGGATTGGATTCTTTTAGTATTTAGGCCAAACCCAACTCAATCCAATCAAAATGTTACTGTATGAGTCAAGTAATAAATTTTGTATTTTTGACTCATGACCTAATTTGACCTAGTCATATATAATAAAAAAATATAACAATAATAATAATAATAATAAATTAGTGTTTTAATGATCATTTACTTAGAATAATAATCATTATCACTCCTGTTTAGTAACAAATTTCATGTTTTTGGATGAATAACATTATAATAATACAACATATTTATTTTAAATTTTATTTTATATGCATGTTAGTTGAACTAATAACAATATAACAAATCAACAAATTAATTTTGAAATTTAGTTTATATTATTATTTGTTTTGTCTATTATAACATTGCATTTGTAATAAGATTTCAAATATTTTATATTTATTATGAAATAATTTAATTTTATAAAAATAAATAAATTTAATTATGTTTATCAGATTTACTTAATCTAATTCAATTCGTTCATGATTGGGTTGAGTTGAGTTGAATTTTAAAATTTAAAATACACAAACATAACCCAATTCATTAAATTTTGATCCCATCAGATTGATCTAAATTTGGTTCAATCTAACTTTCTTACACCTCTAAAAATAGATATTAATCTCCTAACATTTATTTTATATTCAAAGTTAAGACTTGAATTTTAAACATTTTGATTAAGCGGTATCACTTATGTCAATCAATTTTCATCTTAGATGTAGGTTCATGTCTCTGATTTTTCGTACTCGAATTCTCTGCGTTCAGAAAATACATGCATTCACGTGGACGTGGTCAGTCAGAATTATTAGATGTAAATTGGATGGTTCATGGCTTATATATATCTCGATATTGTAGTTGTAAATCTGTCATAAAATACACAATTAAAATACAAACTTTCCAATCTTCATCTAACATCCAGATTTATAGATGTTTGAATGCATGGAATTCACTCCCAATGTCAACGGTACATGTTAGTGTGTTTGGTTATGAAGAAAAAAAAAACAATATATTTTATTATTTTCGGTGAAGGGGAAAGTGGAAGAAAAATAATAAAAAAATGTCTTCTAAAATTAGAAAAGTCAAATATTTTGTTCCTTCTTTTTCTTGAATTCAAATTTTAATTTTAACTTTATCTCTTGTTTTCTTTCTATCCAAGCAAAGGACATTAATTGATACTGGTAGTAGTCCTTGCACCTCATATTAATGGCTTCGAAACCAGCCCCCAACTATTAACTATTCACCAAAAGAAAATTTAATAATTTTAGCAATTAATATTAGATAATGTTTAACAATTTTAAAAATATTCTTGAATATCTAATAATTAAAAAAATGAAGAGATAAGATAAAATATATAGGTGAAATAAGAAAAACAAATATGAGGAATTTCAAATTCTCCCATTTTTTGGAGAATTTGAAACTCTACTATTTTAAGAAATTTCACAAATGATTGGATTTAAATTTCAAATTCTTTGTAAATTCCTCGTCCAAACAAAACATTTCACCTCAAAGAATATTGATAATTTATTTAAAAATATTAAAATTTAATTTATAAAAACATGATAAATAAGAAAATTGAATTAAATATATAGACTATAGAGTTTCATATAATAAACACTTGGAGTTGCATATGTTCATGTAACTGTTTCTAACCTGGATGACGGCTTTAAGGTTGTCCTCAGTCAAAGGATATTCCGATTGAAACCTGAGAAGAACATCGACAAGATCTTCCACCGTTTCACGTTGTTCGCTTTTCCTATTCTTGTGCTCGTCGATGATGTCTTGCAAAACCTTATCAACCTCTCTATGGACCTCTTCAACTTTCCTCTTCGCCCTCACTTGAAGCACTCCAATGGAGGGATACAAATCAGCCACAGAGAACCCTCCAATCAGACTCAGTTGTTTCTTAATCGTTTTTATGAACACTTCTTGGTACCTGCTTTTCTTCCCAAACAGCGCACGTGCCGCAATCGCATAAATTAGGGGGTACACATGCTCAGAGAGATTGAAAACGCACCCTTCGCTTGCAGATACTTTTTTGATTAACTCCGAAACCTCTTCTTCTCTAATGAACCGAAACGATTGCACGCGTTTTGTGGTTAAGAGCTCCACTGTGCATAGTTTTCGAAGCAGCCTCCAATAGTCACCGTGCGGAGCGAATGAAATGCTGGTGGCGTCGTACGACACGATTCTCGATGATATAAGGTTTGGCCTATCAGAAAAGTTGAGATCTTGTGTTTTCATTATCTCTTCTGCCATTTCTCGTGACGTGACTATGATATTGGATACCTCTCCTAGTTTTAGGTGCATTAAGGGACCATACTTGTCGGCTAAAATTTTCAAGCGGTGGTGAGTGAGTGATCCAACGAGTTGGTGTATGTTTCCAATGAGAGGTAGGGTTCTTGGTCCTGGGGGCAATTTGGTGTTAGGATCCTGTTTCTGAAATAGTTTGAACAACACTAAGAGAAAGAGAAAGAAGGTGATGAGGTAAATGGAAAGAGGGTCGTTGTGGAGCTCCATGATCGAGACTCTAGACCTAGCTTTGCAAAGAAGGGCGAATATATGATGAAAGCACCCAAGAGGACTTACATATATATATTTGTTAGAAATATTAATATTTAGAGGTTACTACTTCGGTTTAGATTAATATATGCAACTCTTTTATTATATTTATTTTATAATGTTATATTGATTTTTTTCCTTATATATAAATTCCAAGGGAATACGCATGATAAATATTATTAGAAAGGGAAACTAATTCTCATACGTTCATCTATAGTTATATATTTATAATTAATAAATAAGTAATTTTTTAAGTACCATCAATTAAAAAAAAAAAATTCTCTATTTGAGAGGAATGACACGTGTCTTAAATTAGTCAAAATACGTGTGATTGAAACTACATGCAAGATCATGTACGCGACTTCTTCATCAGTAAAATACCACGTCTCACTTTCAAACCAATTTTGTTATATATAAAAAAAAATTGTGACATAAAGTGAAGTTATATTGACCGGTAACATCCATGTTGGTTCCTCCAAAACGAGAGTAAGTTTCAAAATATCCCCTTCTCATAGAGCATCTATAATTAACTCTCAATCACTTTAAATGAGTTTCATTATGCCACGTCACTCATAAGCAACTCATATTATATAATCAAAATATTTATTTATATATTAAAAGTTATTTTATTATATAATAAAAATATTTATTTACTATAATTTAATTTATAGGTGCGCCTACCACCATCTCCTCTTCGCATCCCTCAAAACCCTTTCCCCTTTCCCATTTCCCTCATGTGGCCAGCGTGGCTCAATTCACCCAACCGCTCCCGAGGAAGAGGGTCCAGTCGCCGAGGACGCGCGCGCCAGAGGAGGTCCGGTCGGAGATGCGCGCTAGAGGAGGTCTGGTCGGGCGGAGACACGCGCGGAGAAGAGGTCCACCTCGCCGAATCTCCACGTGGCTGACGATTTCCACGAGGCGGAGGTTCCCGGACACGTGAGCGTGCGCCGCAGACGATTTTTGCCACCACCGTCGTGTGCACGGCCGGCTTCAACAACCGTGCTGCGCGTGCTTCGTCAGGAAGGAGGGGACGTTGAAGCTGAACGGTCCGTCGGCGAAGTTTTCCGAGTCAACGAGGCGGCGGTGACTCTCTTCTAGTTTGGCGCGGACGTGGTTGCAACAGCGATTGGAAGAGTTTGACGCGGTTGGAACAGAGCTAAGCACCGTTGCTTGCTGAAGCTCGGTTGCTAAAAAAACAGCAACTTTCCTTGTCACCTAGGAATGGGTTAGCAACTTTCCTTGTCACCTAGGAATGGCACAACATAAGCACCTCCCCTTGGAAGTGCTCTTAGAGCATCTATAATTTCTAACAACTTTAAATGGGTCCTACTGTGCCACATTACTTATAAGCAACTCATATTATATTTTTACAACTTTTGTTCCAATGGAAATTATTTATAAGCACCTCAACTTTTTTACAACTCATATTACACTTTTTGACATTTCAATTTTTTTACAACTCATATTTCAATAATAATAAAAATTACATAATAAAAAAATACAAAAAATTACAATAATAAAAATAAATTTATTCACGTTTCAACGTCTCTCCAACGTCTCTTTTTTCTTATTTACGTTTATCAAAGTCTATCACCCTCTATTCACGTTTATTCTCCTACACTCTCCATTCACTCTCTGCATTCTCCCTTCACTCTTTCTTCACTCTCTCTTCTTCGACTGGCGCGCGGAGGGGTCACGGGCGGAGGTAGTCGTAGGCGGGGCGAAGGGGTTCGGCCGGGGGGTTCTAGCGCTCGTGGGGCAGGGGTGATGCCCGCGTGGGCCGCGGGTCTGGCTATATGGAGCAGAGGTGGTTCCCGCGCGGGGCGTACGGGGTTGCGCATGGGGGCGGAGGGGTTTGGCCGTTGGCTTCTGGGCAGAGGCGGTTCACATGCTGGGCGGAGGTTGTTCTCGAGTGGGCCGTCGGAACTGCTTGAGCCGCGCGCGGGGCGTACGGGACTTGCTGGAGACACGCGACCGGCGACGCGCGACCGGTGACGCGTGAACGGCCACTGGCCGGCGTTGCCAAACCTCCCCGGACGAACGAACAGGAGGTGAACCATGGTTTTTTCTACTTTCTTTTTTTTCATAAGTGTGGTCCATATTCCACGTAAATCAATTTCAACCAATGAAATTCTTCTTCTCAGTGCTAAGGACTGTTGCTTGTACAAGTAACTGACAAAAAAATTTAAGAAACTCAGTTGCCATGTAGGATAACTCCAATGGCAGTTTCTAACAAGCACTGTTGCTTATCAATAAACAACACACTAAGCACCTGTCGCTGGAGGTGCTCTTAGTCGGGTAAAAAAAAAACCTTATTTTAATATACAAATTAATATCCTAAATATATTAGCTGTATCCTGTCTCATGTGTTACTGTTTTGATGCTAGTTTTGTGCAGTTAATAGGGGTCACAGTAGAATAAATAACGTGTGTAGATGGGTTGATGAGTGAAAAGTAACTTTTTTTTTTTAATATGATACGACATCATACCGACTTTGCTGATACCCATCACATTTAGTGAGTCCTTCCTCTCACTAAATATAAGTAGATTGATTATAAAAACTTTAAATATAATATTAAAATTTGTTTAATTTATTGGGTCAGCAACGATTTCCATATAATGCAAGAATTGGTATTTGTTTCCGTAAGTCTGCAACGGTTTTGGATTTCTGAGAAGTTAACCTTGATATGCTTTATCTCTGTTATGAACAAAATTTCTTGCATTTCCTAAGGAAGACTTTGCAGTCTGGCCTCATGATTGTGGCCATTTGGTTCCGTTTCAAAACATGCTTTGACATCAAAATGAAAAGTCGAGCTATTCGAATGCAATAAAACCTACATAAAATATAATTCACACTTAACCTAACACACTAGCTAGTCCTCTCTATGATCTATCATATGCCAATACCACAGTTCATTCGTAGGAAAATGATATATATAAAGCTTTTAAGCAATGTTAATAATGGGAGACAAACTTACACGTGAAATTATATAAAAACATGGCGCATCATTGATTTTGATTAGAAAACAAACTAGAAAAAAATTCCAAAAAAGTTAAATGGTGTGTTTATAGCATGAACATCCAATAATTAGTTGTTAATGAAAGTGGTGGGGTTGGAAGAATCACTACTACATGAAAGACATTTTACATCAACTCAATTAGACAATCTAAATTAGTTCTACTACTGATGTAGTATTTATCATTGTATATTTTTTATTAGTGAAAAATATCTTTAAAGAAATTAATATTTTCAATAAGTTTTTAAAATAATTGATATTGATAATTTGAAATTATATTTAATTATTATGTATATGTATATCTGTAATTTTATTATGCGATTAATTTTGATTAAATTATTGGTTAAAAATAATAAATAATATAATAATTACTATTAATTTAGAAAACAATAATAAATCAATATTAATATTAATTGTATAGTAGGATAATTTATAATTTAAAATTAAATTTAATTAGTGTATATATATACATATTAATGATTATAATGTTGCTATAATTAACATAGAATAGTTGACAATTTGAAATTATATTTTGTTAATATATATATATATATATATATATATATTAACAAAATAGTATATATTTAAAAAATTAAATAGTATATATTTGAAAAATTAAATAGGATTTCATTATAATTATAATTTACTTGTTTATGTTGTTTATAAAGAAGATATACGATATACTTTTAAATTCGAGTTACAGCTCGATAAAGATAATATAATAATTTAAACATATTAATTTATTATGGTGGTGTAATCTAATATATATCAGTTTTATTAACAATTTTTTTAATTGACTAGTTTATGAGGAAAAAAAAATATATTATAACCATTATTTAATAGAATAAAAATACTCTTCAATGTTTTTCTAATTAGTTTTCTAGTAAGTGCAAAAAAAAAAGCTAGTATTTTAATTAATATGTGTATTTGACATGTTAAATATTTATAATATATAATTAAAATTTATAAAAAAAAATATATAAATAAATGTTATATTTAAATATAAATTATATTAATAATTTATTTTTAAAAAATATTAAAATTTAATTTATATCTATATATATATAATAAATAAAAATTTAAATTAAATATATAGAGTTGTGTATAATAAATACTTAGAGTTTCTTATGTTCTTAACATTAATTAATTTATATAAATATGTAATTATTACTAACCTGGATGATGGCTTTAAGGTTGTCCTGAGTTAAAGGATATTCCGATTGAAACCAAAGAAGGACATGAACAAGATCCTCCACTGTTTCACGTTCTTCACTTCTCCTATTTTTGAACTCATTGATGATGTCCTGCAAAACATTATCAACCTCTTCAACTTTCCTCTTCGCCCTCACTTGAAGCACTCCAATAGAGGGATATACAAATCTGCCATAGAGAACCCTCCAATCAGACTTCTTGGTACCTGCTTTTCTTCCCCAACAACGCACGTCCTACAATCGCCTAAATTAAGGGCTTCATGTGATACTTTTTTAATTCGATATTTTAAACCCTAAATCCTAAATTTGAATTATGATTTTTAAAATTAACAATAATAAATAACACTAATTCTGATTTTTAAAATTAATTTGATGTCATTGTTAATATTATCTTTCTATTTTCTTTTTTTACTTCTAATCAAAATAATAATAAAATAAATTTTAATAATATTTCATTCAAAGTATTAGACATTATTTTTTTTTATAACTCTATTATGTTTTTATTGCTTTTGATTTTTTCTATTATTGTCATTGTGAGATATATTTCAAATTATATTGGTGTTATAATACAATGTAATTTCTTTATTTTCTAGTATTACGCCGGTGTCTATGAATAACTTTATAAAAATTACTTTTTTGTTTTAATGAAAATAAAAAATTAAAATTTAAAAAAGATAAATTATATGTACAAAAATTAAAATAAAATTGATTTAAATATATTTGTACTCCAAATAAAATAAAATGTTTTAATTGTTTGTACAATATTATTTTTAATATTTAATAAGTATTAT